CTAATCTGTCTATCATTACCGAGTTTCTTCCTAGGTAAGAGTCTGTTCCTGCATATCCTCTGCTTACCTTTAACGATTTGAACTTTATGCATAGTAATGCCAGATGGAATGAGATTGGCAATCTAAATTTTGTAAATGTTATTTGGTTTTCCAGAGGAAGCTTATATAAGATTATTCATCGTCCTCATCCTCAAATCGATGAGAAGCGTAGAATTAAGATGGCTCTTGACGTGGTATGGAACTAATAACAGTTGCAATTTTTTTCTTAGCATGTGACCAGCATACTCATATATGTTCCCTTTTGGCAGGCTAGGGGCATGAATTGCCTACACACTAGCATACCTACCATTGTTCACCGTGATTTGAAGTCTCCTAACCTTTTAGTTGATAAAAACTGGAACGTGAAGGTAAATGATGTTTCTATGTTTTAGTTTTTGTGCTTCTGAAAATTTCTTACCGTTTTTAAGTGCTATTCGATAAGTAGTCTCGACCTACCTGTAACCATTGCAAGACGGATTGGATACAATGGGTCTGTGATTATGAAGCACCCTTGAAGCATAATACCTTCCTATCATCTATATTGGCTCTGATTATTTACAAAACTGAACTTGTGCAGGTCTGTGATTTTGGGTTGTCACGTTTGAAACATAATACCTTCCTATCATCTAAATCAACCGCCGGAACAGTCAGTATCTTAGCCTGCTGAGCAATATATTATAAATTCCGAAGATATAGATAGAATACATAGCTCCAATTATATTAATTTTCTTTTTGTCTCTGATTTACTTTCTATGTTTCAGCCCGAGTGGATGGCACCGGAAGTACTTCGCAATGAGCCCTCGAATGAGAAGTGAGCCGTTTCTTTTTCTTCAATAGTTCATTATCTTTCCTGTTCGTCTTTTTCTCCTAAGTTAAGCTGACCACTTAATCCACTAGCATTTGTTGGGTTTCTGAGAATACGAAGATAACATTTTGTCTGCATAAAATGTGTTAATTACTTGTGGCTCACTGTTATTGGTGATTAGAGTTGGTAGCTCTGCTGCTATTGTCGTGTCAGATTTAAATATGTTGAATCAGTAAAACAACCAATGCTTAGAACTAAGATACATGTTTTGTTGGATTTATAGATGTGATGTTTTTAGCTTTGGAATCATTCTCTGGGAGCTTGCTACTTTGAGATTACCTTGGAGCGGAATGAATCCGATGCAAGTTGTGGGTGCAGTTGGTTTCCAGAATCGACGCCTCGACATTCCCAAGGAACTCGATCCTTTGGCTGCAAGAATAATTTGGCAATGCTGGCAGACGTTAGTATACAGAAACTCAAACTTTATAACTCCTTTTTTGATGTCCGATCCAATCTAATCTACTTACCCTATTGATTTCCAGCGATCCGAGTTTGCGGCCATCATTTGCGGAGCTTACGGTAGCTTTAAAACCCTTACAGCGGCTTGTTATCCCATTGCATCAAGATCAATCAAGCTCACCTATGCCACAAGAGATTTCAGTAAATTCTACACCCTGAAATCAAAATCCTCAGTTCCTCAATTGTGAATATGAAAGCATTCTGTTCCCATCTCTTCAATGAGGTAATTAATGTATTTAAGTGTTAAAAAAGCTGCATTTTTTGAGTTCATGTTCATAGTTTTGTCCAAAAGAAGGAAAAAAACTTTGAGTGTATATTTCAGTACTCTTTAAAACAAAGATAAAAGTGTTATTATAAATTAAAAAATGATTACTATTACTTTTAAATGTTTAGTTCCTTTTTAATAAGTACATCTTATTTCAACACATTCAGATATGGCATGATTTTTGGATATATCTATATAAATTAATTGTTTTATTATTATTTTTTTGTTTATATTAAATTTATTATATTTTATAATATAATTGAAGAAGAAAAAAATTTCCTTATGTGATAGTCATTCTCTTAAACAAGAAGAAAATTTCAATAACGATGATAACTAAGAAAAAAACACCAAAACAGTAAATAACTAAAACGGACGAAAACCTAACAAAATTTCTACAAAAAGGAAGAACATTTTTATTTATATACAACCAAGAAAAACAAACATGAATTAAGCGATTTCAGTTATTAAGGAAATGTTATTTCTTGAGGTCTTAGTTTTGAGTACTATGTGTATAAAAGTATATGAACATTCAATGTTAAATGATTGAATCTTTGAATAAATATTATATTGTATTTACCACAAATTAATTAAAAATAAAAACAAAAGGAAAGGGCAAGTATTTTTCGGCCAAACTTTAAGACTAAAAGTCTAAAAAAAAGATAGCCTAATTTCATACTAAAAGACGGCGAAAATAGACACAATCTAAAATTATAAAAAAATATGACATTTTAGGTTGAATGCAATTTAAAATGTTATATTTTCATAATATTTTCGGTTACAACTTAAAATGTTACAAAAAATAATATTTTAAGTTCAACCGAAAATATTATGAAGAATGTAACATTTACGATCGTGCCCATTTTTATCATTTTTTAACTTTAAATTATTAGGTTGTACCACATAATTATCCAAAATATGTTGTCATAGAGCACTTGTTTTATAACTATTTTTAGCGATAATAAATGTGCTTTGGTCCGTTTTTGACTAATACGATATTTAGATGGGAAAAGCAAGACATTAGTATATGCGACACATAAAAAATGAAGACATATTATATTATACTCATTCCATTATTAGTACAATTATAAATAAATTATTAAATATTAAAGTGTTGTTAATAAATTATTTAATTAATTATATAATCGATTAATGAGAAGATATATTTGTTATTTTTTTAATATTTAATAATTTATTTATAATTTTTATTATTAATTGATTGATATATAATATAGTTTATCAAAAAAAATCTCATTTTTCTATTATAGTCTAAGTCAAGTTTTGATATATTTATTCTAGTACTCGCATTACTAATAATTAAAGAATAATAAAGAAAATAAAAGAAAGAATATGCATATTTCCTTTAACAAATAAAAGAGTTAATTGCACAAAATATCCCTAAACTGTGACCTTTATTTTCAATTGATTCTTAAACTTTTGAATATTCTAATTTCATCCCTAAACTATGACCATAATTCTAAATTAGCCCCTAAACTTATAAATCTCCAATTTCATCTTCAAATTCATCCCAATGTGAAATTAGTTTCAACCATAGTTTAACCTAACTTTTATTTTGTTTCAAACATATAATTATATAATGAGAAAATAACCTCAGTGACCAAAAATCCTAGATAATATACGATTTTGACCAACTTTTTTTGGATTTGCGAAAATGACCAACAAAATCGCAATGCGATCTCTAATTCGCATTGCGATCTCCACTATCGCAAATTCGCGTTGCATTTCGCGTTGCGATAGTTGAAAATCGCGTTGCGATTTTCCATTTCGCGTTGCGATAGTCTACAGTTGTTGTTGCGATAGTCTACAGTTGTCGTTGCGATTTTCCAAATTCGTTGCGAAAATTCGTTGTGATAGTTAAAAAAAAAGATTTTGTTTCTTAAGAATTTTCTCTAAAAAGATAGTATACGCGCGGACGTGTCGAAGACACGTATTACCACGACCACGACCACGACCACGACCCGACCCGACCCGAGACGGACGGCGGCAGCGGCGGCGCGCGAGAGTCCCCCTTGTTCTCTATCACTCAACAAGGAAGTGGGAAAGCCAAGCCTTAAATACCATTCCCAATAGTGTTTCCAATACTATGTGGGATTGAGCATTACCAACACTTGTTTCCAATACAATGTGATTATTCAGGAAACAATTAACAATCATGCACCTTAAAACAACTGAATTAGCAACCAATTGCATTAGTGTTATACGATTAAATATGTCATAATTAAAAGTCAATCTACAATCAATCGCGATTATTGCAATTTTAAGCAAAACATTCAAAAATAATATCACTATTTAAGGCTCAATCCCACATAGTATTGGGAACAAGTGTTGGTAATGCTCAAATCCCACATAGTATTGGAAACACTATTGGGAATAGTATTTAAGGCTTGGCTTTCTCACTTCCTTGTTGAGTGATAGAGAACAAGGGGGACTCTCGCGCGCCGCCGCCGCCGCCGTCCGTCTCGTGGTCGTGGTCGTGGTAATGGTCGTGGTAATACGTGTCTTCGACACGTCCGCGCGGATACTATCCTTTTAGAGAAACAAAATATTTTTTTAACTATCACAAGAATTTTGATAACTGTAGACTATCGCAACGCGAAATGGAAAATCGTAACGCGATTTTCAACTATCGCAACGCGAAATGGAAAATCGCAACGCGAATTTGCGATAGTGGAGATCGCAATGCGAATTAGAGATCGCATTGCGATTTTGTTGGTCATTTTTGCGATTTTCAACTATCGCAACGCGAAATGAAAAATCGCAACGCGAAATGCAATGCGAATTTGCGATAGTGGAGATCGCAATGCGAATTAGAGATCGCATTGCGATTTTGTTGGTCATTTTCGCAAATCCAAAAAAAGTTGGTCAAAATCGTATATTATCTGAGATTTTTGGTCACTGAGGTTATTTTCTCTTATAATTTGGCCTAACAATTTTATTAACAATGGATGCAATTAATATATATGTATAGTTTGGGATGAAACTGAAATGTTCAAAAAGTTTGAGGATCAATTTTGAATGAAGGTCATAGTTTGAGGGTGAAATTAAAATGTTCAAATGTGTGAAGACTAATTTAGAATGATAGTCAAAATTTAGGGATGAAATTGAAATGATTAAAAATTTAGGGACTACTTTAAATAAAGATCATAATTTAAGAACGTGATACAATGAACTCCAAATAAAATCAGTAAAATAAAATAATTATAATAATATTATTTGATTAAATTATAAAGAAAAGTAAATATTTTTTATAATTAATTTTTTTCTAAAATAAAAATATCTAATAAATAATAGGAAAAAATATAAAAAAGACATTTTATTATTTTAAAAGGAAATTACCTTTCCTTCTTCCTATGTTTCCTCGAGATTGGATAGAGGGAAAATAAAGATATCTTATCTTAGCACAGGAAAAAGACCAATCTCTTACTTTGCTTTCTCTCTGCTTACCTCCATTCAAACACATTGTAAAGGTACATTATCTTCCTTCTCCGTTTCTCTCTATCATTTTGCATGTGCTTTCTTCTGTTTCTGTCGTTCTAATTTCAATCAAATCGTTTTTTTTTCTTTTGGGGGAAACTATTAAGTCTTGAAATACCCTCACTTTTAGTGCATGATTGTTTCATTTGCTTCATCTGTGGCGTGTTTCATTTGTTTATTTTTGTGATTTTGATAAGGTTGTTATCTCAATTCTCTCTCTTTGTTTTGTGTGTATCTTGGTCCTCGAGTTATTGTACTTTTTAACCCTAAACCCTTTTGTTGATTTGCTGTTTAGATGAATGTGGAGAGGCTCACGAAAATGGCTGGTGCGGTCCGCACCGGTGGGAAGGGTAGCATGAGGAGGTATGTTCATGGTTTGAATCTTCCTTGGTAGGTTAGCTATAGTGTTTAGATTTTTGTGAATATTCAAGCTGTAGGAGTTTTTGGAGTGGCTATGAACAGGGACGGGCGAAAGAGTTTATATTAAAAGAGACAAACTTATACAATTTTAGGGGCAAAAACAGATTATCAATAGCAAATACAAAGAAAATATCTAAATTATATTATAATTTAAAATTTTTAGGGGTCGACCGCCCCGCCAGCCCCCTCGGTCCATCCCTGGCTATGTACTGTGTCTGGGATTGTAGAAAGATAAAAAAGGCATTACATTAGTTTTAATGATGTGATTTCATGAACAAGAAGAGCATCCTAGTGTTTTGATCAGTGTAATTCGGCTTCGATTGGTTGGGGCAGAAGGGGACATTGATTGTTGACTCCATGATTCATTTTTATGTTAATCTTAATGTCGGTATAAAAATATAGACTTGGAGAAGGACTTGCTTCTTGGCTTCAAAGATGCAACTTTGAATTGCATAAATGTGAATGCTCAGCTCACTCCAACATTGCACGGTTTAATACTTTAATTGTAGAGAAATTAATGAACTTTTTTCTCATCTCATATAAAGGTATTCAATCCTGATTTGAATCGAATTTGTAAGAAAACTCCACCATCTCTCCAGAGTTGCCTTCTTCTTGACACTCAAATGGACCCTTAATTGTACTTTGTATCTCAAGCACATAAAGAATTCTCCTTGATTAATCTGGGATATGAATCATATGCTGATTTCAGATTTCGAGCCTTGGGTTGTATGAGCTTTTCTTTTTCCTTCAAATTCCAAAGTTTTTAAATACAAAAATGATTTTAGAAAATTATAAAGATCATTTGCTTGTTAATATTTTATTGATTAGTATCAGTTTTACATTTTCTCATTGTTATATCATGATCTTTTTAGAGATTCCCATGTCCTGATACTTGATTTTGAATTTTGATGTCTCTAATATATAGTTTGCATATTAATTATAATCTTGACTTCAACAGAAAGAAGAAGGCAATCCACAAGACAACAACGACCGACGACAAAAGGTTGCAGAGCACCCTCAAGAGAATAGGAGTGAACGCTATTCCTGCAATTGAGGAAGTTAACATATTCAAGGATGATGTTGTTATCCAATTTCTGAATCCAAAAGGTACATTTAAGCTTTATTCTAGTGGACTTATTACCTATAATTTTCTCAAAGGTTTTTAATGGTATATTAAAGGCATAATGCCAAAACAATACTCTTTACGTTTGAGTAAATAGTCATTTTGGTCCCTATTATTTTTTTGGAGCATTTTGGCTCCCGTACTTTCATTTTGAGGCAAAAAGGCCGTAACGTTTGACTAAATAGTCACTTTGACCCTTGCTTTTTTTGTGTGTGGAGCATTTTGGCTCCCCAACATTTCATTTTAGGGCAAAAGGGCCCTATTTTGATGTTTTAACAATTTTTTTCACAGAGGGACCTTTTTGCTCCAAAATGAAACGTTGGGGGCCAGTGACTATTTATTCAAACGTTAGGTGCATTTTTTGACATTATGCCTATATTAAACTAACTTGTGATGGTCTTATCTATATTTCAGTTCAGGCTTCTGTTGCTGCCAACACCTGGGTTGTTAGTGGCTCCCCTCAGACAAAGAGTATGCTGCATCCCTTAATTTTGAACCCTCTCATAGTTGATAAAACCTTACTGCTATTTACCCTTTGAAGATTTGCTATTTTAACTCCAAAGTCATCAAAGACACTTATTCTGCAATTTTTTAGCTTTGTTGGTCTGACATGTGTGTTTCCCCCCTATTCCAGAATTGCAGGATATTCTTCCCGGAATCATAAACCAATTAGGTACTAGCTTTTCTTTTTTGTGATTGTAAAGTGATGATATCGGCTAGTTGTTGACCTTGATTTGAAAATTTGTTGTAGGGCCGGATAACTTGGACAACTTGAGGAAACTGGCAGAGCAATTCCAGAAGCAAGGACCAGCTGCTACTGATACTGGTGCAGCCATTGCTGAAGAAGAGGATGACGAGGAGGTACCGGATCTCATACCTGGTGAGACCTTTGAAGCTGCAGCAGCAGGAGGCCAAGGTGCTAAATAGTGTTTTTAGGGTTCATTTAATTATTATGTGTTTTTGATGAATTACAATTGTTTCTTTTTCACATTTACCTTTTTTGTTGTTTTTGGTGTTCTGTGTCTTGCACTCTAATAATAGTTTGGCTCAGAGTAAGCCTTTCTTCTTCTTTTTCCTGGAATTCCTATAATAGATGGTCTTGAAATGAATCATCTACGCATAATCACACATATTCTGCAGATGTAGCTTCTCGAATCCGGATTCTCTAGGGAAAATAACATTCTCTTTTATCATTGAGTTCACTCAATTTAGGGATTAGAATCCTATTTATGGAGTATTTATTTCCCATGCTCGTCGCCCTTACTATCGGCATCATCTTCATTCCTGCGGTTGCCATTTCTTTCCTTTCCTTAATTGGAAACCTGTCTTCTTTGTTTTGTCAATGTTGGAAAGCTACTGCTTTGGCTCTGGTGTTGCCAATGTGTATATTTTCATGTTTATTATAACAGAAAATTTAAGAGCATAATTTTGATTAACTTTTTGTTGTCATATTGATTGTCTTTCGAAATTGAGTAAATTACATTTAAAAGGTCATTTTTGTTTTTTTGTATGTCTTATTTTGATCATTGATTCTGAAAGAGTTACACTTTCATCACTTATGTTATTGATTTATTATATTTTAATCATTGAGCTTTTTATCTCTCGTTAGTTCGATGTTGTGACATATTAGTAAAAATAAATAAATTTTAATTTGATATATAAATTTGACTTTTTAAACTTTAACTTATTCATTTTTCACATTCTTTTAGAAAAAACCCTAAAAACTCAACCGACCAAAGTTTTCTAAAATATCTATTTTAACCGAGTTGACCCTTAAAGAGTTTTTTTTGGGCGTTTTGCCTCTCAACTTTAAAATATTTACATTATTTGCCCCAATTTTTAACTCTATTAAATTTCTTTTGACCAATCAAAGTGTCATGTGACATTTTTAACCGACTGATTTTAATGAAAAGGAGAAATAACATGTTAAATCTTTTAAATTTTATTTTTGTTTAGTTTAATCTCTAAAAAATATTTAATCTAAAATTAATCTCTATTTATTTATAGTTAAGTCCATTTAACATATTAGTATCATCCAATAATATTAGAAAAAAAAAATAGGAAACAAAAATTCAAGTAGAGAGAATTAAACTTGGATATCATATTCATAGGAGATTAACCCAACATCTAGTTATTGGACCAAATCCTAAAATTGTTATATACTAAATAAAATTAATATTTAACTTAAAATAAGATTGAAATTAATTATATTTAATATATGTAGACACCCGTTTTTGTCCGGGTCTTTCCTATCTAATTTAATTTTAATTTTATTATTATTATTATTATTATTTATTATTTTTATTATGTTTATTAATTACATATTACAACATTTTGTGCAGGCCATCCACTTAAGCCCAACTACAATCAAAACCCAGACCCGGTCCAACAACCCAGTAGATGACCCGAACCGGCCCACTTGACAACCCAGCTAGGGTTTCATCTCAATGTTCCAGCCGCCTCATTTCTGGCCATTGGATCTGGACCCATCCAACGGTCCAGATCACGCAGAGCTTAGGGTTTGAAACCCTAAAATATCATCAGCTCAGCCGTTTGGCCTTCCAGCTCCAGCCGCCGCTTGACTCTTCAACTTCCCAGCCGAGCCTCACCCCCGACAGCCTCTGACGCCGGCCGCCTGCATCCACAGTGATTGAAGGGCCATCCATCAGTCTTTCCACAGTGAAAAGCAGAGAAATAAAATGAAAAAATCACAAGAAATCTCATCAAAATCCCAAAGTAATCGGGGTTGTCACTCAAGGCTAAGCATAGGGAATTATTCCCTATCATATCTAGCAGCTCATCGAATCCATCACAGGCATCAATAAAAGAAAATGAAGACAGAGGAGAGGGATTCATTCAGTGGGGGTTTGAAAAAAACATAAGAGGGAGAGAGAGAGACATTCGGGGGGGTTGGAAATAAAAAATCCAGAGAGTTTCGAACCCAAAATAAAAAAAAGAAAAGAAAAGAGAGAAGAGGAGAGGATCTCACCACGGTTTGGAGGTCGAGAAGCCCGACGGTCGTCGGTTGTCAAAACTTTCGAAGGTAAAACTCTCAGATTTAGAGAGCTAGGGTTACCTTTAGGTCGAGATAGTTGGGGATCTAGGTGGAGAGTGAAGAGAGGAAGGTTTTGGAGGGTTTTCTCCATCTCCGGCCACCGTTCGTCGCCGCGAGCACCGCCGCGGGCGTAGCCGGCGGTGGACAAATCTCTTCTCCGTTGAGAAGGTTGAGAGAGTTTTCTCTCTCTCCCTCTCTCTGTTTTTAAGCAATGAAAGAAATGAGGCATAGACCGAATTTTGGCTTGATTTTGGTCATTTATACGCGGACCAGAACGGCGTCGTTTAAGCCAAAGGGGTTTCCGTGTTTTCATATTAAGGGATAATCCCACTTTTAGTCCTTTCTGCTTTGTAACCTCACGGTTTAGTCATTAAATAAAATTATATTTATTTTATTTCGAGCCTTAATGTTTCAATATTGGTATTTTGGTCTGGTACTTGTTTGTTTTATTATTATTATTAATGTTGAACGTTGGCCATAGTATTTATAATTATTTCAATTTAGTCATTGGTTATGTGTTGTTTATTTCTTGTGAATGTTAGAATTTGGCCATGATATTTATGTTTCTTATATTTTAGTCACTGTTTGGTATTTGGTATAATTACTGTTTGAATCTTTAAGTTTCTGTTTATTCTAAAATTGACCACTGATTTTGTTCTGTTTTATTGTAGCCATTGATTAATCTAGTTTCTCTATTTTATGTTTCTGATACTGTAGTTTCAATTTACACAGTTTAGTCACTTGTCTATAAAGCTTAGTTATTTTATGTTATTTGCGTTATGGTTTGCCATGTTTGCATGTTTACATTTTAACCCATGTTATAATATTAATGTACATATTATGTTCCAAAGGTATTTGTGCATGTACAAATTTATTTATTTTTATCTTTATTTCATTACATACGCATGTCGTATCATATATGTCTATATACATATATTTATTAAATTTATTTTACCCTTGTATATTCGTATATATATATGTACATATATTACCAATGTTCGTTACATATTATTTAAATTGATTTATTTTAATTTGTAAATTATCTAGTTGTCAATATTTTATGTTGTTCATTTGAATATTTTCAAGAACAAAGATTTGTAGAATGAGCGTGGAAAGTACCACTTGATCGAAGTGATACAATCCGATACGACATTCGAACAAAGGTGAACTTGAAATAAAATTGATTTTATTTTTGCTAATTAATTATTTTATTTTAAGTTGAACAATGCGATGCATATTACTAAATAGCAATGTACTTTATGCGAAGATCGATTTTTTATTTTTATATTCGATTCACGTTTTTAATATAAATGAGGAGGGAATATTCTTTTATTGATAAGAAATAGTTCGAGTTAGTTTTCCCGATGGAGGATTGCTAATTTCAAGATTTCCTTTCGAGTTAAAGAATTTTCTCTAATTAAATAATTCGAAGCAAATTAATTAATGTTCGATAAATGGATCATAAATTAACTTTATATTCGATTTGTAATTTTCACCATTATGACAATGTTTAAGCGACACAGTACCAATTTTGGGCGCTGTGGGGTGCTAATCCTTCCCCACGCGTAACCGACTCCCGAACCTGTTTAAATCGAATCTTTGGTAAATGCATACTAGTTTTCGTCTTAAAAAAAACGATTTTTCTTAAAATTGTTTTAAAAAAAGACATTTTTAGGTATTCGACCTACCTAACCCAAAGGTCGATGGCGACTCTATTCAATTTATTCCAAATTAATTCCAAATCACCAATTTTTCTAAAATTAAAGTCATAATCGTTTTAAAAATAATATTTAATTGTTTTACCTAAAAAAAGGGTTATGACAGCTTGGCGACTCTGCTGGGGACCTTTTTTTTGAGAGTCAGGCTGTATGTCGTTTACATATTGTCATCTTGGTGGAAATTATGATTTCTAGTTTTTAGTTAATTTATGATCCATTTATTGAAGTTTTAATTGCTTCATTTTTAATTATCATACTAACACTTTATCTTTTTGCTTTCAGGCTGTCCAAATTTTTGTCGAGTTTTTTTTCTTTTCATTTTGAGTCAAAGGTAGGTATGTTCCTCCTCACACACATCACTCGCATTGGCATAACATAAGCTCTAGACACGAGCTTCGATCCAAATTAGTTGGGGTGAATGCTTTACTCTCGTAAGAATTTATTCTTCGTATGAGTTTTAGCAAATAACCCATGGGATACATACCTTATACCTTCGTAGGGATTTATTCCTCATATGGGTATAAGGCAGTGAATCCCCTCGAATTGAACTCGTCCCGTTTGAAACCTGTAATGGGTGAGGATCGAGGGTTTGGCAGCCCAAGGGGGCACCGACATCAAGGACAATTCGAGTTCTCTTTTCCTGTTAGAGCCAAAACCATGCATATAGTAAACCGTAGAACAATCACCCTAGGTATAAATATACCGAACCTCTTTCCGTCAGTAGGTACCCAAATTAGGTGTACACAAAGGAGGAGCGCTTCTGAACCTTTCATTTTGTTTTAAATTTTCCTGTTGAATAAAAGCATGCAAACTAGATACCATGCAGTTAGGACCAATTTCTTGAAAATAGATCATTGTGGGTAGAAAGCATGTCCGGGTAGGATTGCTATCTATTGAAAGCATGTTCGAGTAGATATCATGATAGGGTAGGTGTTATATTCATCTCTGAATAATATTTTTATTCGTATCAATTATTTTACATATACTAACTCGTTTTTATCTTTTGTTTTTTCACACTAACTTATTTATTTTGTTCGTGTCATTTTTTATCATTTGTGCATTGCATTGCATCATCATAATGCAAAAGTGTTGATCCGTAAGGGGATATTCGAGAGAAAATTTTCACAAGAAGAGGTGAAAATTTTCAATCAAGAAGTCGCATACACAGACATGCACCGAAGGCTAAAAAAGTTCAGAATACAAGAATGAGACTTGTTCGAAGATCGTGCAACATTCGAGATTAGAGAGATGATCCATTGAGCCAAAGAGTAATCCAGCAGTAGATTCTCATCTACAATCATTTCATCGCTATCC